CTGCATCCGGAGCGTGGCGGGACGGTGCTCTGTGGGCACAGCCTGGCTGTGTATCGAGTGGCTGCTGTTGCTAATGCGAGCCTGCAGCGGTCCTGGCTGCTCCTGTGCTGCAGGGATCAGCGGCTCACAGGTCTGCAGAGGGGTGGATCAACTGCCCCTCTCCTGCAGCCTTTAACCCCTTGCTGCCCAAACATGCAGAGAGCTCCTGAGGAGCTATGCCTGGAGCATCCCTGTGCAACTCCCATCAGCCCTGCAGCATCTCCACAGCAGCTAGGGCAAGGCCTCACCCCGTGGGGTCCCTGCAGCCCTGTGTGGAGAAAGGACTCACAGGTCTGCAGAGGGGTGGATCAACTGCCCCTCTCCTGCAGCCTTTAACCCCTTGCTGCCCAAACATGCAGAGAGCTCCTGAGGAGCTATGCCTGGAGCATCCCTGTGCAACTCCCATCAGCCCTGCAGCATCTCCACAGCAGCTAGGGCAAGGCCTCACCCCGTGGGGTCCCTGCAGCCCTGTGTGGAGAAAGGATTTAACAGGAAGGCCCATGGAAAAAAGGGTCAGGAGTTGGGCTTTTAACTGCCAGGGGCCTTGGTTCAACTCCTCAGTGATCCTGAGCTTGGAGGTCCCACCCTAGTGCTCATGGGTGGAAAAGGCATTAGGGTGGGCCCAGGACTGGACCAGACCAAGGGCAGGGTGGCTGAGCCTGGAGGGGCCTGTGAAGACGGGAGAAGCCTGGGACTGCAGCTAGCCCTGCTGACCAGGCCTGAGGGGTGCTGGCTACACTGAGTGGGGAACCCAGGCACCAATGTGGAGCAATAGCAGTGCTGGGCCCAAGCCGCCTGCACTGTTCTATAAACCCTGGGCTCCCCTGAGCAGTAAGAGGCCCTGCGTTAAGAGGAAGAGAAGAGAAACGGGGATTTCAGAGAGTATCAGTACGAGAGGTGTGTGCGCCAGAGAGAACAGCGACTGAGAAGGGCACCTCCCACCCGCAGGTTCTGCAGCCCTCCGCCCCGGGGACACCCCCTTACCTTGGAGTCCTGCGTGTTGTATTTGTTCTCGATCCCGTAGATCTCCTGAAGGAGGTAGCTGACTCCATCCACCTGGAAACCGCCGAGACGGGGGAGTCACATGAGCAACGCAGTCACGCTGGTGCTGCCCCACAAGCGCATTTCAGATACTGTGCTTGGGTCTGCCTCTTTCTAAGCCTCCCCGTTTCCCCACCATGTGAGCAGGGCCCCCCCTCCCCAGCCCCCAGAGCCCTATGCTGGGAGGAGGCTTCTCTATGCAAAGGGGGTGCCTCATTGCACCAGTAATACTAACAGGCCTGAAGTCCTTCCTGGATTCCAGCTCCCATCCAGGCCAGCCCTGCTCACGTCCACCGACAAGGAGCAAGTGACCCTCATCCCCCAGGACAAGGCCAACGTTAGCCGGTCCCAACCCCACATAGACTCACCACTTGTTTCTGCTTGAGAGGCTTCACACAAAAGCTACCATCTGCATGCTGGAAACAAGGAAAGTGTAGTCCAAGTTAATCCAAAGCAACCATAGACGCTGGGAGAAGAGAAGGCAGCTGTGGTGTATCTATCACATTGTGACGCCTGTAGCTAGGCTCCGAAGGGTTAGATTGTTGTCACTAAATGTCAGTTTCACTGCACACATGCAAACTGATGAAAAAATGTTGCCTTTGAGAATACTGGAAATACTCCCAGAGGCAAAATAAGAAAAGGCTGTTTGAGAACTTCTTGGCGTTTGACTGGAGGCTATTGACATTGTCTATCTGGAGATGCGATGCTGACAATTTGTGCTTTAATGGCTGTAAAACTTTCTGATTGCAACGCTCACTGTATTTCAATAACCATTGTCTGAGCCACCCCATTGTCTGTCCCCTCCCACAAGCCCCTGCTCCACCGGACAGGACAGCCAGACTTCTTGGGGCGTGACCCTGATGGAGCCTCACTCACCTTCTCGAAAGTGGCCAGCAGGACGTGGCAATGGCCGAGGTGCTCTGCAAGACACAAACGGGGCAGGGCCGAGAGGTCAAAAGGGAATCCCTGCAGCTGGGAATCCGGGTCACTGCCCCAGCCCCCTTTGCAGGAGAAGGACGCGGAGCACCACATCCCGTGGGTCTGGCCAGGACCCGGCCTGCTGGGCACTGTAATGGGAAAAGCAGATGGGGGAGGCTGCCATGTTTGGATACGAGGAAGGTGACAAACTTGCCCCCGCCCCCACCCATCCCAAGATCAGGGAGGAGGTCCCAGCCTACAGATTGGAGGCAGGGGGCTGGCTCTGGGTTTAGTAAGTGTGTGGGCTAGTCTCCTAGCCCCTCTCCCCAGCCACCTGTGGAAGGTGCAGCTGTTATGGGAAGGGTTTTCACTCTGTCTGGAGGGAAACGGAGAAGGCACAAGGATGTAGGGAACTGGGAAAGCCATGGGCCAACCTCCTCTTAGGAGTAACTTCACTGACTGCAATTCATTTGCCCTGTGACTTCTTAGAATCAGCCTATTTCCCATGTTCCTGACACAGGATTCCCCAGAAACCTGATGGAAAAACAGTAACAACACGGCTTTACCATTTTAAAGCCATATGCAGACTTTAACTGGCTAATGCTCATAGCTCCCCTGGGGATGGGATCCCTACTGTACAATGGGGAAACTGAGGCACGAAGCAGTTGCGTGACTCACAGTGGGACAGTGGCAGAGTAGGAATTAGAATTCAGGAGTCCCTGGCTCCCAGTCCCCATGCTGACTCTTCCTAGACCATACTGGCCCCTGGGCAAGAACAGTCTGTGGGATGGGCCAAACCTTTTCATGCTGCAAATGGGAAAGTTCACAAGAACAGGAAGGTGTGGGTTACAAAAGAGCAAGTCTTCCACTGCATGTGGCAGTCCCCTCGCTCCACACACAGCTCAGGTTGAGGACACTCCCCGGGGGCAGGACCAGGGCTTGTAGCAAGGCACTCTGGAAGCCTGGACAATTCCAGTGAGCTCAGGCCAAAGGCTCATGCTTGGTACTTGGCACTCGAGACAAATCTCCCATGGACGAGGGGTTCCTGCAAAGAGCCCCAGGCTCGGCCTGTGCTCTCAGTGAGAGCTGCTGCTGTTACACACCACGAACCTTCGACTGCCCCAGGGGAAAGCTGAGCTCCACTCGGGCTCCTGATCTGGGCTAGAGAAAATGTCAGGGCCTTATGAGTGACCTTTATCAAAGCCAAGGAGAAAGATTTACAGGGCAGGATAAAGGGGTGAGGGATGTTAGATACCATGTCATGGAATTATTGTGTAACCCCGTCAAATTTTAGTGATTACACAACTATCAGACAGCCCCGGGGCGAGGCCAGCAGCCAGTGTGTTCCTGGCCTCACTCCCAAGGAGTGGCTGGCTCCCCACGCTGACTGGCTCCCATCTGCCATCCCACACTGCTGCCTTTGACACAGAGGAGCAGTGTGGGGCAGCAGCAGTCCCTGTCCATGGTGGGTCTGAGCTCCCAAAGGACAGAGGCTGCCCCAGCATCCCACAGAGCAGCCTCTGTCTGCAGTGAGCCTGGGCCCACCACAGACAGCCTCCTCTGAACCCCCCTCCATCCTGCGCTGCTGCTTCTGATTAAACTGGCTCTCCCCAAACCCTGGCTCCTGCCTGCCCCCACTGCTGCCTCTGTGGGAGGCAGCAAAGTGGGGGTGTGGCACATGAGGAGAGCCAGCTTAAAAGCTGGCTCCCCATGCATATTGGCTCACGCTTGCCCCCACCCCACACTGCTGCCTCTGCTAGAGAGGCAGCAACATGGGGGGCGGGGAGGCGGCAGCTTTATGGGAGCCGATATGTGTGGGCAGCTTGCTTGAAAGCCGCCTTCCTGCGTGTACCAATTCCTACCTGTCCCCGCTTGCCTTCTGTGCTGCTGCCTCTCTATTAGAGGTAGCAGCGCGGGGGTGGGGGTTGGGGGAGAGCTGGCGCCACGGGATCCAGTGCTCATGGGGAGCTGACTTAAAAGCTGGTTCCTCACTGGTACCAGCTCCTCCCTCCCCCTCCCCACTTCCTTTGCTGCTTCTGATACAGAGGCAGAAAAGAGGGCGGTGTGTGTAGTCAACAGGTTAACCGAAAAGCCCAAACTTATTGGTTAATTGTGTCGTTGACTACAAGTTGACATCCCTAAAGGGGGTCCCAGCTGGAGTGCAAGGGAAATGCATTTCATGGACTCTTAGAATCCTAGGGCTGGAAGAGACCTCAGGAGTCATCGAGTCCAGACCCTGCTAAAAGTAGGACCAACCCCAACTACTCTGGACTCAGAATGAACTTCCTGACTGCAGCCTCCAGCGCTGCATAAACGCTGCAAGACAAGTGGGGGGAAGGCCTATAAACCTCCAGCTGCCTCCACCAAGGGCCTGTTCCTGTGGAGTGCCGAGCATCCGGATCACTCAGCAAGAGCAGAGGGCACTCAGCGCCACAGTCAGGCACACCGTGCAGCTACCTGGACTCACTTTCCTTGCCCGGGGTCCGATGAGAAGCCACGGGTGCCAAAGGGACACTTCCCAGTGACGTCAGGGAGCTGTGCACTGGGCCCTCTAACAGATTGCTCTTGCTCCCAGCAGGGATCTTCGTCCTGAACTGGCCTCGCTGACTGGAAGGCTCCTGGCCAGGGGATATTGTTCATTTACAGTCACTAAAGCCCGCTCCCTTTTTCAGTTTAAACAAAGAGGTGGTAGGATGTGCTCTGCCAAAGCATCCAGGCCATTGGATGTGTGTCTGGCCAGATACAGCCTTTTGCTGTTATTTAATGTTTACACTGTGATGTATTCAACGACTCTGGCCAGCGTGGGCCCATTGTGCTAGGTGCTGTACAAACATGCTATAAAGGATAGGCCCTGCCGCAGAGAGCTGATAATCTAAAAGGCCTCAAGCACAAGGCTGAAAAACTGCTGCCTCGGGATCAATAATGAGCCTTTATTTTCTCTCTCCAACAAGAGCAAAGTAAATCCATTTATCAGATCACCTGGGCTGTCTTGTACCAACACAGGGGACTGGAGCAACACACACGTGCAAGAGCCGACGCTGCGGATGCTGAAAATTCACGGCGCAAATGGAGGCTGCATTGTAAGAACACAGACGCCATCCGCAGGGCAAGTCTCATGGGGCACCAGAGACTTAAAGCTCATCCATGTCGCCGCTGAAATAACGAAACAAAGCCTTGAATTCTCAAGGGGCTGTCCCTACCATCTCCCTCGTCCACGACTGCATGCACCACCATGGGATACACCTCTCGGTCCAGGTCAAAGCCCAGCTGGAAAGAGAGAGAGAACAGGAAACGACTTACAAGAATCACCAGAAGCGTCACTGAACCCGATTCTCAGCTGGTATAAACGTAACTCTGTGGACTTCAATGGAGCAACCCAACTGACATTAGCTAGGGGAGCCGGCCCAGTGATGTAAATGGCCTGATGTCAGCTTACACCAGCTAGGGATCTGGTCCATAACAGCAAACGCAGCCTTAAGCCAACCCGGGAAGTTTGTGTTCAGTGAAGGTGTAAGAAGCTGACGCACAGAGATATGCTCCTCAGTGGGCTCAGCTCCTCCAGCTGTCAGACTGCCATGGTGCAATTACATCTCAGGACTTGCCAGCCCCCAGCCTGCCAATGACCCTCAGTTGCATGCACAGCACTGCAGCTTACTCAGCAGCCCCAGGCAAATACCCTGCTGCTACAAACCCCTCCCTGCTTAACCATGCAATCTAGTTTAGTTAACCCCGTAACAAAAGCCCCCTCCCCCACACTATCGTATTCTAACACAGCACTGGGAACAAAACGAACCAGACCATGCTACTTTCAAGGGCATCATTTCAGGACAGGAGGGATGAAGCCTCTCCTACCGGGACACCACTTACTCTTCTTCCCCTTCCCCTCACTATCAGGGGGTGAGAGGGAAGTACACAGCTTGCATCACTCACTCCTCTGCCTCCTCCCCTCCCCAGCTGGGAGTGAGAGAACTGCATGCAAGTTGTGTACTTTGCTCTCGCTCCCTGACAGCGAGGGGAAGGGCAAGAAGAGCAAGCAGTGCCCTGGTAGGCATGGCTGTAGCCCATCCCAGCCCTTCTGAAATTGCACCTTTGCCGTGTTCCCTGTAAACTGAGCACTTGGTGGCCACTCGGGAGAGATTTGAATGCTGCCCAGCTGATTAACAGAGCGCCCATAGCTAGGTTTTGTTTCTAGTGGTGGTGCATATTCGTACATGCCTCAGTACACATAATTTATTCCACACATTGATGGAAACTACTAGGGGGAACATTGCGCCACTGGCTACTTTTCTGGTGCGTAAGAGCAAAGAAGTTAAAAATCCTCTCTTAGTCATGCACCACTAGTCACAGTTGCATGTAGGCACTGAGGGTATGTAATGAGGAGTAATGGTAGTCTGAATTAGGGGCTTTAGTTCGAACTACCTAGCCCGTGCCACGTGTAGCCGCGGGCAGGGAGTCCGAGCTACCGGGCATTTAAAAATGGCAGCGCCCAGGAACATGCAAATAAAGCCCGGGATATTTTAATCCCGGGCTTCATTTGCAAGTTCGAATGACTACATTAGCCACCCTAGTTCAAACTAGGATGGCTAGTGTAGACATACCCTAAGATACTTTTACAAGGAATAACTTATAAGTAAATAATTGGAGGAATTATGGAAATGTGGAAAGAGCACAATAAATACCATTAGAAATGTGAGGCTGACATTAGGAAGATCAGTTGAAATGGGGAAAACAGCATACTTTTGTTTTATTGACTTCCAAAAAGCATGTGACAGCATCTGCTACTACAAATTGCTCAACTTACTAAGATTTGTGGGGATTGACTATTATGAACTCCAAGTAATAAGACAATGATATGGGAAATCAGAAGGCAATTATAATAGGAGATGAAAATGAAAATCTAATAGAGATCAAGAGAGGGTTGAGACTAGGTTGTATACTTAACATTTATAGCATTTGATTAAGTAAATCTAAGAAAGAAAAGAAAATAGGTAAATAACGTTTGTTACGCAGATGACACATAGCTGTTAGTTGATTCAGAAGAAAGTCTTATGATGTTAATGGTGATTATATATGAATATGACAGAGAACATAATCTAGAGTGAATGTGGACAAGACAAAAAATGAGGATCATATGCAAGGATCCTGGGAACACATACAAAATTCCAGTTGTACAGGAAGTGAGAAATGATTGCTACTTAGGAAGCACCATTATAGAAGATGGAAGATTGGATACTGAAATCTACACGGCTGTGTCTAGACTGGCAAGTTTTTCCGCAAAATCATCTGATTTTGCGGAAAAACTTGCCAGCTGTCTACACTGGCCGCTTGAATTTCCAGAAAAGCACTGACGATCTCATGTAAGATTGTCAGTGCTTTTCCGGAAATACTATGCTGCTCCCATTTGGGCAAAAGTCTTTTTCCGAAAGACTTTTGCGCAAAAGGGCCAGTGTAAACAGCACAGTAGTGTTTTCCGCAAAAAAGCCCCGATCACAAAAATGGCGATCGGGGCTTTTTTGCGGAAAACCACGTCTAGATTGGCCATGGACGCTTTTCCGCAAAAAGTGCTTTTGCGGGAAAAGCATCCTGCCAATCTAGACATACTGTTCCGAAAATGCTTTTAAGGGAAAACTTTTCCATTAAAAGCATTTTCGGAAAATCATGCCAGTCTAGACGTAGCCCACCAGAACAACAAGAGTGGAAGAGGCATTCTGGAAGAATAAATATCAGATAAGGGGGAACATAAACCCGAAGACTGAATTCTGACTCTTAATAACTTACATTTAGTCTGTGTTAAATTATGGCTCTAAAACATGGACATTCAAACAATTAATAAGAAAGAAATTACAACCCTTCCAATCATGGTATTATAGAATTTTTTTAAATATCTGGCTAGATCATATAACCAATGAAAAATATACTTAGAACACAGCAAATGTCAGGCCACATTTTAAGAGGCTCAGCTAGGCTACATCTACACTGCACAGTTATTTCGGAATAAGCTATTCCGGAATAGTTATTCTGAAATAGCTTATTTCAAAATAGCATGTGTACCCTGCAGGGAAGCCTCAAAATTAGTTCGAGGCAGGCTTCCCTAATGTAGAAGCTTCCTCAATTTAGAAGCCCAGGAGGATTAACTTAGAATGGCCCTTGTGAGGGGCGATTTCAAAATAGCAGAAGTGGAGCTTCTACACACGCCTTATTTCAAAATAGCTATTTCAGAATAGGCTTTATTTTTCGTAGAATGAGGTTTACAGAAGTCAGAATAAGCTGTCCATTATTTCAAAATTATTTCAGAATAATGGCATTGCTGTGTAGATGCATACATAGTTATTTTGTAATAATGGCCATTATTCCGAAATCACTTTGCTGTGTAGGCACACCTCTAGTGATGCATATTTGCAGGGCCTGGAAGGGGAAGGGGCTGGTGGAAGAATATGAGGCAGAAGAAAGAAACCCTTGTATGGGACAAGGGGATACCCGGGGTGGATCAAAGGACTGTAAAGAGATTAGCAGAGGATCCTTCCCAATGGGTTCCCATAGTTGCAAACCTCTGATAGTGCCACACAAGCAGCAAGATACTCGGGCAGCTCACGGGGTGATGCATCTCTCCCCACAAAGCCAGATTATATCCATGCTGAAAACAAAGGGAGGACATGTGAGCCCAGTTCCAGACTAATGCAGCTCGACAGGCTTTGGAGAACCCGCTCCTTTCCCCTCGGGTTCACAGCAGGAGCTCTGAAGGGCTCCACGTGGCCGGCTTTAGCATGTCTATTTTAAATCAGTGCTACTGCTCAGCGATTCCCAGCCACTGGTTCACCACTAGCACTGGTCCCTCAAGCTTTGTGACTTGCTTTCCCGGTTCCTCTTCTCCCAGTCTTGTGCTGGATCCCACATGCCACCGCCTCCCACATCCCACTCAGCTGTGAGCACCCTGTGTCCACGGGCCAGGAGCGGTTCCAAACGGCAGAGCACAGGTGAGCGACAGGGAGTTAACCACAGCCCAGAGCTCAGGGAGCGTGGCCGACCAAGAAGAGCTGACAAACCACGGTCTTGTGGCCTCACGCCAGGCTGGCTTACCTCCTCTTCTGCCCACTCAGACGGATCGACGGTGTGGGAGGGGACGCAGAACTGCTGACACACCCCTCGTTTGTAATGGACCGTCTCTGACTGCAGGCTGGTGTCTTTGGGGAGGTAGCTGCCAAGCAGAGGACGACAGAGTTAGTCCCTGGCTGTGCATGCTCGCTATGCTTACGCAGTGCATCCGTTCGCTCCAGCCAGTGCTCCCCAACACAAGGCAGACACGAGCCACCTCCTCCCAGGTCTTCTGTGGGCCATCTGGGTTTGGTCCCATCACTCCCTATCTGGGGTGGCTGAAGGCTGGGAGCCCAGTGAGGGCCAAAGGTATTTCAGGCGTGTTTTGAGATCCCACCAACCATCCAGGATGGGGAGAGATCAGCATGTGGTCACTCCCATTGGCAAGATGGAGACACTTTGTCAAGGCCTAATGGTCCTACAGGGGGCCACCAGCTCAGCACACCTCAGCCTTGTGTCAGGGGAAGCCCAGCGAAGGAGCATCTCTGAGGCCTTACTCCATCCTCTCGCGTGCCCTCACCTCAGCACAGAGGTGGGGTGACAAGAGCTGGGGGCAGGGAGGACTGGAAATAAGATGCAGGCAGTCTAGGACTCTCAACTCACTGGAGGGAAATAAAGCCGCAGGAGGTGCTCTGGCCTGGCTCTATGGGAAGCTGTACTAGCCAAGGGCCAGGGGAAAGCCACGCACCTGGGCCCCTCTGGTTCTTGGAAGAAATGCCTCTCCCAGGCCTCTCATGCCCAGGGGCGTAGTGAGGGAGGGACAGGGGGCGGGGCAGTGCCACCCGGGCGCCACACTAGGGGGGCACCAATTTAGTCCCCCTCCATTCCCTCCATCATCCCTTGGCACGCCTGCTCCTCTTTCACCCACCACTGCAGGCTGGAGCCTCCACCCCACCTCTCTGCCCCCAGCCCCACCCTCCTCTATCTCCGCCCACGAGTTAGAGCATGCAGGGGCCCAGCCTCAGACTGGAAGGGGGGAGACATGGCACTAGCTCCCCACCGCGGGTCGGGCTCAGCCGTGAGCCAGGTTCGAGGCCCTGTTGCATGGCAGTGGCAGGGTGCAAATTTTACTTTTGTCCCTGGGCGCATACACTGTCGCTACGCCTCTGCCCACGCCCTTCTCACCTGGCTACTCCATTCTGGAATTCTTCAGTGGCTTGGTAATAAATGGTGATTGCCACCCGGGCGTCGGTGTCAAAGGTGAACTCCACATTGTAGTGGACCTTGGCTTTGCTGACTTCCTCTCCAGGGGTCTTCACTTCCTCTGCACACCTGGCAAATCCCAGAGGGAGTCAGAATTTACCCGGCACCCAGAATTCCCCCAGATCACTGTGAAAGGCTCTGGAGCACAAAGTAACCACTCTGGGGAAAACTGGAGCTGCCACCCCCTTCCCTCTGATCAGGGAAAGCCAGTAAGTGACAGAGCCACAATGGGATCCATCCAGGGACTGGCCCAGCAACAAACCCCAGCCATGGGCAAGAAGAGGGGACACCAGCAACCAAAGGGCTGTGAGGGGAATGAAGTGGGCCCCAGTGCTGTGTAACAACTGGGGCGTTACTGCCAGAGATTGTATAAATCCAACCACCTGCCAACAAGAGCTCGCTTCCGCCCCATCCCGCATCCAGTGTGAGGCTGACGCTACCCAGCAAACAAGAGCAAGAAGCTTGTGTGGCCGGGAGAGTCAACTTAAAATCCAAGATTCTTCTGAGCTTTGGTCTGGATGCAAGGACTAGAGGGCTGCCCCATGGAGAGCAAACAGCTGGTGTTGTGCAAAAGAGCAAAGCGCTGACCCACTGGATTGCTCCGGGCTGGTTCCCCACTCGGGTGTTGAGCCGCTCTCTGGAGCCCTGCTATACCTTGGCTTTGCTCACTGCAATGAACCCCCATTTGCACTCACAGAGCAAGTGAGGGCTCTGCTCATTCTGAACGGCTCTGCCTCCGTGCCAGGGCGCACGTGCTGCTGGGAGGTGCTGGGCCAGCTGAGGAGAGCAAGGACGTAGCCAACAGCTGACTAGGCAAATGCGCATGGCAGGGGAGAGGCAGTTTTCCTAAGATTCTGAGCGGCGGTTAGAGCCCAGTTCTGTGCCACACGCCACACTGGACAAAGAGCTCCACCATTCCTGTGTGCTTACCTGTCCCCTGCTGCCACGGCTCCCAATCAGTTACGCCCTATAAAACCCTGAGATGTGAATATTAACTGTCTGTCCTCATGCTGAGACTCAATATATAAACTGCAGCACCCTTCTGAGCCTGTTATAATGTCTTCCACCCTCAGGTCCCAAACTACCTGCCATGCCCTGATGGGCTAAGCCTCTCCAGGCCCCTGTGCAGTAGCTATATATCATGACCCCAATGAACAGAGAGCAAAACTGAGGTGCACAGAGGAAAAATGACTTGCCCCGGGTCTTGCAATGAATCAGTGGCAGAACTGAGCACAGAGACCACGTCTTACTCCTACTCCAGTGCTTTAACCACTAGAGCACATTGCTGCCCTTCTTTCTAATAGCACCATTTGGAAAGTAACTGCAAAGAGAGGTGTAAACGCCACATAATCCAGCCGACGTCAGGAACATGACGGACCAGATGCAGAATGGTACAGAACTCCCTTTGTTTACCCAACAGGCCAGCGACATGTCCCAGTGACTTGCACACTCGGGGAATTTGGAAGATGAAAGAGAAAACAAAAGTGGCTTGGAAGAGACACAAAGCTGATGCTGGCAGGAGCCAGCTTCCCCTGTAAGCCATCGCCACCCTGCTTTTAAGAAGCCTCAGGTTTGCACCTCACGACAGTCATGGGTTTCCCAGGCCTGTCCCACTTTGACCCCACGACCCCGGCCTGGTGGAAGCAGATCATTTCCCATGCCAACTTGGCCACATTAAACTTTCAGCCGAGTCCTAGAGATGCTCAGGATGAAAGGGCAGCAGCTTTGCCAGGACTTTTGTCTCCTCCTGGATACAAACCGCCCTCTCTACCCAGGCCCCCTTTGGCTGCAGGGAGCTGGAGCTACAATCCCCAGCATGGCAGTAGCAAGGGCACGAGCAGCACTGGCCACCCGACTGCCCGCTCTGGTTTGGCCCATGCACCAATGTCACCAGCAGCGCTGTTCCTCCACTCCACTGCCATGGGCAATCCCCTCTTGTGTCCGCACTCGCGGCCGCACTTCCTCAGCCTTTTCTTTCCATGCGCCACCCCCAGATAGATGTTTACTTCTGGCCCAGATACATCCTCCCCTAACCAGCAGCACAGGCAGCAGAGAAAAATCCATGTGTTCACGCTAACGGGCCACCTGATCACTTCCATTCCCTCCCTCTCCCCTCTTCTCTTTTGCTTCCCACCCAGCCCCAAGTTTCACTCCCCCCTTTTCTCTCCCTCAGGTTTTAAAAAAAACAGGTATTCAGCCATAGCCCCGCTTCATCAGATGCCTCCAGCCGCCCCCCCCCCCTTCTGCCCAATGCAGCCTGCGACTCCCCTGGGCACGTTACTGCCCCCAGCTTCACCCTGTGGTCACCTCAAGTCAGTCTCAAAGGTAGCTGCTACTTGGCCATCGATCTAGGGGTGGGAATGGCGAGCCCAGAGCAGCACCTTGGAGACAGTTTCTACTACACAGAACCGGACAACAGTCGCCCCCTCCCCGAAGCCCACCTCTTGTCACCCGGTCACCCAGCCTCCGTGCAAGGGGGGCACTGAAAGCCTAGGTCACGTGTGACCACTGCGTGTGCACGTGACGGTGTAATGGGCTTGGGCCTCAAGCTCTCCGTTTGCACCGGGCAATGGTATAGGCACATCTCTGCCCAGTTCCCTGCTCTGATGCACGCCTGGCTGATTAGAACTGGGGAGACACAGGGAGAGAAGGGCAAAGAGAAATAACGGTTGCAGCGTGTCCCAGAAAGGGAGGCAGGTTAGAGAGAAGCTGGTCTATGGTGGCCCTGTGGCATTGCTGGCCCCCGGCTTTTACTATGTCACGTCTGCCCGCCAGGCCTGAACTCTGCGCTGCTGCTTTTCATTTGGTTCCCATCGCTGGTTGCAGCCCTAGCAGTGGGAGAAGGATCAGCTCCATCTTGCTCCTGCAAAGCAGGTGGGAAGGTGAAAATCCAAGAGGCTAATAATGGGGTGGGGGGATTTGTCCTATGGCACCACCATTCACCTTCAGTTCTCCACTGAGAACACGGTTAGTCCTCTTGGCAGGCTGGTAGATGGGTGGCTCTAAGCACACCAAAAAGATTAGGGGGCTGGAGCACATGACCTATGAGGGATCTGGGCTTATTTAGTCTGCAAAAGAGAAGAGCGAGGGGGGATTTGATAGCAGCCTTCAACTTCCTGAAGGGAGGTTCCAAAGAGGCTGGAGAGAGGCTGTTCTCAGTAGTGACTGGATGGCAGAAGAGGAGCAATGGTCTCAAGTTACAATGGGGGAGGTCTAGGGTGGATATTAGGAAAAACTATTTCCCTAGGAGGGTGAAGCACTGGGATGGGTTCCCTAGGGAGGGGGTGGAATCTCCAGCCCTAGAGGTTTTTAAGTCCTGGCTTGACAAAGCCCTGGCTGGGATGATTTCGTTGGGGTTGGTCCTGCTGTGGGCAGGGGCTGGACTCGCTGACTCCTGAGGTCTCTTCCAGCCCTGGGATTCTATGAGTCTATGATTCTGTGCCAGAGGGGAGCTGACTCCTCCACTCATGAGCTTCCCTTCACCAACCAAGTGTAAACGGGATTCAGCCCTTATTCCTTCTAGTCAGAGCCACTCCTGAGTGGAATGAATGTTCTGTGCACCAGCGTGGAGGTGATGTGACATGGAGGGGCTGGGCAACACATCACCTTCTTATTGGTGCACATAAAGTTCATGTGGCAGGGATGGGGCTGAGGGGTTCTGAGTGTGGGAGGGGGCCCAGGGCTGCAGTAGTAGGTTGGAGTGCAGAAGTGTGAGGGTTCTGTCTGGGGATGCGGGCTCTGGGTTGGGGCCAGCGATAAGGGGCTCAGGGCTGGAACAGTGGGTTGGGGTGCAAGACCTCTGGCTGGGGATGCAGACTCTAGGGCGGGGCTGGGTTAAGAGGTTTGGGGTAAAGGAGGGTGCTCTGGGGCTTCTGCAAGGAGAGAAGACTCCCCCCATCTCTTTTTCCTTGCAGCAGCACCTTGAGAGGCACGGGTTCAGGCTGTTCCCTCCCCCTATGGCAGGCCAGAGGCTGGACTAGGTTGAGGTTGGGGCAGCCTCCTCCAGCTAACTAGGCAGCTGCATAGCTTACAGGAAACGTAGGTCAAGGCCCAGTCCTGCTAGATCCCTTCCTAAATCCCCTCCCTGCCCAGTGCCACAAGCCTTGCTTTACCTCAGATACATGGGCAGGCGCAGAGCTCCCTCTGGAGGTGTTTCGGGGCACTACCACATGGGTGGATTTGCCACTGTTCAGCTGATGCTGGCATCTAACTGGTTAAGCCACTGGGAGGCTGCAAGTTGGAGCAGGATTCCCAGCCAAACCATATAATCCCTCACCTCCACAAATTGGGACTCACTTGACTAGGCGCAGAGTGTCCTTTCGGATGTTGATTAAACTCCTGAGTGTCTTCACTGGCTCCTGGGGGGGTGGGGCAGCATAAGGAAACTAGGGTGAAAAGAGAAAATTGAAAGAAGTTGATTTTTGTAGCACCGGGTCACCTAAGTCAAGATCACTCATTCTGCAGCAGGCCTGGCTGCCTGCGCTTGCCATGCCAGGGGCTACAGACCTTATCTCTGCAACAGGACAGAGCCCCTTCCCCGTACCACCAGCCCCAGCTTAAAAAATCAGGATTCTGGCCCCCTGAAAGTCATGAGGTCGGCTTAGGCGCCAGGAGATTTTTACAAGAACAGTAACACATATTGGGTCTTCCTGTTTGCTGAGACTTCCATGGTCACATATTCCAGTTTTCACTCGAGCCACAAGGTCCAAAGACCCACTTTGTCACTTTTACCCAGAAACCCAGATTCACCAAATTCCCTGGCTCCAGAGCCCGGGGCTGTAAGAACAGTACCACACAAGTGCCACAAGCCACCACAATGGCAAGTGCCAGCAGCTGTCCTGCACATGGGCCAAGTTTTCCATGCAAACCAGCGAGCAGGTGTGGTTGTAAAGTTCTAGGGAAGTGGGTTGGTTTCTGCCTTTGATTTCCCACTCCTTTGCATAGGGAGATAAAGCAG